GCTCAAAACTGGAAAAAAAAGATATTACCAACTATGGATGATTGGAGACAGAAAGTATCATATTTTGCAGAGATGGCAAAAATATCCGCGTACCTGAAGGATCATTCACAGGAAAAATTTATCTCAATATGGAGAAGATGGATAGAATACATTCAGAGAAAGTATGAACTGAAAAATTATTATGTAGCTTTTGATTAAAAACTTAGAACAAAATTAGGTATACAATTTAAATTTTTTTTTTGTTGTAATTTACTGTTATTTTAGAGTCACAGTAATTTTGTATTAGTGTGTAATAATAATGAGTAGTTTTTGATTTGTATTGGATGATTGTGTATTTATTTCCTAGATTAGCTTTGGGAAGTCCTGGGGGGGGGAGGGGGGAAAGGGTTAGGTTTTTATTATAGATTTAGATGTATATATATATATATGTATGATTTTTCTTTAAGGAGGTGCCCGGTGATACCCCAACCGCACTGACGGGATGATTGAGGGAGAAAGGGAAGTAGGAAAGAGGGAGGAAGGAGGAGTGGCGGTAAGATAAGGAGGAGGAAGGTGTAGGTAGGTGAGAGGGGGGTGCGAAAGGGGGACACCGGACATCTCCGTGAATGTATTGTTTGATGTTGATTTCTTTTTGGTTGATATTGTGATAAAAGGTTTGTTTCTGTTTTTTAATGAAAAATTAATAAAAAATTTATTTAAAAAAAAACAAACTCAATTTCATTGAGGGCCGCATCAGCATTGCGGTTGCCCTTGGGGGGCTGGGTGGGTGTGGCCAAGGTGGGTGTGGCCTATTGGTGGGTGTGGATGGAGTGGGTATGGCTTACTGGGTGGGCATGGCCAGCTCTACATCGTTTGCATCAAGGGTGCCTGTGGGGGCCTGGGCAGGAGTGGGACAGATCTGAGGGTCTCTGGCAGAAGGGGGTGGGACTGGGGCAAGCATCAAGGTATGGTCCATTTCTTCATTCCTCACAAAGGGTGACACCTCCCCAGCAAACACCCAGGGGGCAGGGCTGACACGGCAGGGGCTGGTTCCTTGCTGTTTCTAGATGGCCTTGTGGAGCTAAGACTGAATGCGTTTCAGCATAGATTGCCACCACAAAATTGTACATTGGCTCCCGGCCAGCCTGGGCCAGGGCCAAGGCAGCGGGGGCTGTTCCCTCACTGTTTCCAGTGTTTGACATGTCTGTCCTAAATGGATTATTTTGGACAGAGAGCTTCAATTCATTGCAAAGTTCTGGAGGGAGTTCGTTAAGCTTATTGGATCTACTCAGGGGCTCTCACTGGCTTTTCATCCAAGTACTAATGGGGCGGCTGAATGTGCAAACTCAATGGAGGAACAGTACCTCAGATGCTATGTTAATTACCAGCAGCCTAATTGAGCTGATCTTCTGCCTTTCACTGAAGTAGCCTATAACAATACTGTGCACAGTAGCACTGGTCTTGCACCATTTAAAATAGTTACTGGGAGGGATTTTGTGCCTATACCTGAGTACCCCCAGGAGCCACCTACCTCGCAAACTTTGGATCAGTGGGTGACCTCCTTTCAAAGTGTTTGAGCGAATGTAAAAAAAGCCTTAACCCAAGCCGCTAAGGATTACAAGGAGCAGGCTGATAAGAAACATTCCCCTCAAAGACCATTTTATGTTGGGGAAAAGGTTTATCTTTCAGATAAGTATTTCAGATTGAGGTTACCCAGCAAAAAATTGGGGCCAAAGTTTCTGGGTCTTTTTCCTATCACCAAAATCATAAATCCTGTTACCATGGAGTTAAAGCTTCCACGGCTTTTGGGGAAAATTCACCTTGTGTTCCATTGTAGTCTGTTGAAACCTGTTTCCGAGTCTTCTTTAAGACGTATTCCAAAGAAACAACCAAGTCCAATAGTGGTGGAGGGGGAAACACATTATGAGATAAAACTAATTCTTGATTCTAGGTTGTACAAGGGGAAGTTACAATACCTTTTTCAGTGGAAAGGCTATCCATTGTCAGAAGCTACATGGGTGAAATGTACAGATGTGAAAGCAGAATGGTTAATATAGAAATTTTACAACAAACATCCTCACAAGCCTCAAGGAAATACCTTTTTGTTTCCCCTACAGGAGATTCTTTCCTTTTAAGGTGGGCCAACTGTCAACTCTACAATGAGCCTGGCTGCAGCCATCTTTCTCTTCATTCTATGTTCATAGAACGGAGGGAGGGGGGCTTGCCCAGGTGCTTCACTGGTCAAAATAATCTTCTGTCCTGTGGGAACCAAGGTCATCTACTGCTCTTGTGATCAGGGACTGGGCGTTGTATAAGAAAGACTGCCAAATGAATGTATTGGGGAATGTAGTGATGGCATAATTTGGTGGGTGGGACACTATACTTTGTAACTGGGAAATTTTTAGTGGGAATTTCAGACTTGGTTTCACTTTTGATCATGCTGATACTTTGTAACTAATAAACATGTTCTTTGAGGAATTTTCAAGCCTTGGAGTTCTGCTTTATTTGTCTCTGTCTGTTGGAACCATGACAACAGCAACTAGTGGCCCCAGTGGTCATGAGATCACAGAAGAGAAGCCCCACACCATTGGACAATGCTGCCTCAACCATGTTCAAACACGTTTTAGAGAAAGATGAGTGGTTTTCAAAACATAAAAATCTCTGCTTGATGCAGGATGGACTAGCACAGGTGGGAGGAAGACTCTATGTCCCTGCCGCGCAAAGATTAAAAACTATGCAAGTTTCCCATGATTCAAAACTTCAGATTTGTGAAGACCCTACACCTGATAAAAAGGCAATTCTGATGGCCATCGTTGAAAAAAGACATGGAAAGTTATGTGGCCAGGTGCCCTATTTATGCTGCAGCAAAGCGAAGGCAAGGGAAAATCCCTGGTCTTTTGCAGGTGGTAGCGAGCCCTTCAGAGATTTCTATGGATTTTATTGTGGAATTGCCAGACAGTTCAGGAAATACAGTTATCTGGGTCATAGGTGATAAGCTGCCTGGGAAAGCCAAGGGAAATAATCAAAACAATTAAAAAACGAAAGTTAGAATATTTCGGACATATGATTCAACACCCAGAAAAATACGGCATACTACATTTAATCTTCCAGGGAAAGATTGAAGGCAAATGAGGTCCAGGCAGAAGAAGAACATCATGGCTTCAAAATCTAAGGGACTGGTTTGGACAAAACTCAGCAGCACTTTTTCGTGCGGCTGCTGATAAAAACAGGATCACCAACATGATCGCCAATGTCCGATAACAGATATGGCATAAGAAGAAGAAGAAAGGTCATAACAGACTTATTCTCAAAGCAAGTCCATTTCATTCCATGCCAAAAGATCCCAACTGCTAAAGTCTTAGCTAAAATGTTCCTTCAAAATATTTATTGGTTGTATGGAGCCCCTCAGCACATAATTTCAGACAGGGGCGTACAGTTTACTTCAAAGTTCTGGAAGACCTTTTTGGACCTATTGGGCATAGAACAAGACTTGGGTTCTAGTCATCATCCTCAAACGAATGAGGGGACAGAATGAACAAATTCAGTTCTGGAGCAGTACCTTAAATGCTTTATCAATTACCAGCAGGACAATTGGATTGATCTCTTGCCCTTTGTTGAAGTGGCATATAACAATGCTGTTCACTCCAGCACAGGGTACACTCCCTTTCAAATTGCCATGGGACAGATGTTCAACCCTATGCCTGAATTACCAACAAGTGAGCCCACCTCCCTTCCCTTAAGGAATGGATGAATAAATTGCAAAAATCCTGGCCAATAGTCAGAAAAGCTCTAGATTAAGTCAGGGATGCTTATAAAGCTCAGATAAAAAGAGAAGGGAACCCAAACATTTTTGCATTGGGGACAAAGTCTATTTATCCACTGCAATCACTGCAACCTTCCAAGTAGTTAGGACCCAAATTTGCAGGTCCCTTTCCAATCAAGCACATCATAAATTCAGTTACTGTGGAATTGGAACTCTGGCTCTGTGGATACTCCTATGCAGAGCAATTAATTGCATGGTGGACGGCTTGAATAAAATGAAAATACAGTGCAAGAAGAATTAAACCACTTTGGATCTTCTCAATGGAACTCAGCCATTGGGTTTTACATGTCTTGAGCAAGAAATTGATACACAATGCATTTCTTAGCTATAATTTGCCTATGCTTTGCTAAAGGGAAATTTAATTATACTCTTACTAACAAACTGAACTGATTTGAACGATTGATATGCCCTAACAAAAAAGAGCAAGAAAAAAGAGAGCACAATAAAATAATTGGGTGGGGTTTGAAATTATTGGGCTGTAACCTGGAATAATCAACAAATGGAAATAAGTAGCTGAAAATTAAACCTTCTTGGGAATTAATAATTATGTTTAAAAATGGTACTGCTATTTAACACTTCAGGAATAATAATTGGGATCAAGGTATGAAATGTTTCTAATATTTTATAATATGTAATTCTGCCTTGTACCGAGTGCCATGTAGAATTGCTTGAGAATTATAAGAAAACCACAAAGAAAACGCTGCAATTTTGAAACAATATATGTCTCCATCCCAAATATTTTACCTGACAGAATGGTCTGGAAAGACAATAACAAAAAGTTTCCAGTTGTAACCCACTCAATTTATTTTGCCTAAATGACCCAGAAAGAAGAATGGATTTTAATATTTAAATGCAAATATCTGAAATCTTCACAGTTGCTGTAACCGCAGCATTGCCTTTCTAAAGAAAATTAAGAAAGTGTATTGCTCATTTTCTCAAAAATAGAATCTTGCTCTCTGTGAGACGGTATTTTTCTTAAATCTCTTTTCCTTAAAAGTATTCCATGAATCTGAATGTAAGGACCCACCCCACTTTGCATCTTAAGAAGACAGAACTCCTGGAATATTTCTTCCAACAGGCATCTTTATTAAGAGAAAGCTGGATGCAGGCGTTCTAGACAGGACTTGGGTCCAAGCTCTCCCATTCAAGGTTTTAAGGGATCCCCCATTAGCCACACCCCATCACCCCCTTCTCCCAGCGACAATCCCAGGNATGAAAGCTAATGACCCCCATTGTTATTGTTAGTCCTTTTGGTGATATCCACATCCAGTCCCTTTGAAGTAGGCTGAAGGAAGTGAGGGCCATAAAGCCCCTTTGTTCACCCCCTTCCCTTCATCGTATGACAGAATCCAGAGAAGGCAGAAATGCGGTTTTTCATAGTTGATAACTAGAGATGGAATATATTTGGATTATATTTGGAATATATTTGGATTCTGATAGAGATGGAATATATTTGGATTCTAGTCTAGTTTAGTCTAGTCTTTTATTAGATTCTGAACAATCTCTTTGGAATAAGCCACGATTGACAGTCTATGCAAGAAGGGAGTTTACATGTGTTTAATAACAGCATGGAAGATGAAACCATAGTATTTCTGCACAGTTAAATTTGTATTTGATGGCTATTGCAGGGATAGATTGGTGAGAATGATTTGGGGCTTAAAGAGAAATTGAGAAGACCGGAAGGAATCAAGGGATCCCCAGAAAAAGAAGGAGGAAAAGAAGGAAGGGAATATTATTATATGTTACTCAATATTGAAGTCTCCTGATTGTCTCCTGTTCCCTAGATCATAGATGGGCTTCCATAAGAATTGAGAAACTGATCTGATTAACTCACCATTAAATCAGATCCTGCTCTGGGAGGAAACATTGTAGCATTTGCTGTGAAATTCTGGGATGGATGATTTTCCATTGGATGGCGTTCTGCCTCATCTCCCTATTTCTCTTCACATCTTCCCTAATTACAAGGACAAAAGGGGAAGTTTTAGCTTTGTAGGGAATCAGCATTTCCCTACAAAGAGAATGAAATATTTTAGGGAATATTTAAAAAGGTAGGATAGAATATTTCCCCTAAAGGAGAAATGGAGAAAAAATCTTAACAAAGACAAAACAGCCCCCAGTCTTCCTGCCTCAAGTAGGGCTAATCTTTAGAAATGCAGATCTGGTAATCCATTCAGAAAGACGGGGACATGATATTCATAAGAAAAATGCCTTCAGCCCCCACAGTTGATGGTATTAAGAATTTAAATTCCCCCATTCAGCTCCAAGGACAGGACAGGACCTTTAGGACATAATAGGATTAACCCACCACCTTTAAAATAACAAAAAGGCATAAGGTTCACTACATTGCACAACCCCATGGGTCATTTCAATCAGAACCCTATAGAGATCCATCCACTCTCAACTCCAATTGGTCAGCTGTCCCAGAACTGCATGCTGTTGCTGGTTCTGCTCTTCAATAAACAAGAACCTTCTTTCAAAAGCAGCCTCCACTTTTATTCCTGGCTTGGAACCGGACCTGAATTTTCTTTCAAAAGCTGCATGACAGCAAGACAGGTGGTGAATAAATTTAACAAATAAAATTTAAGTTTTTGTTTCTAGGTGTGAGCCGAAGCTATGAAAAGAACAGAGGATTAGAAAGTAGTGGTTAACTGCCATTTTTAGTGTTCCTTGATGGTCAGGTAAAGAGGATTTGTTTGTTCTTGCTTTCGTTATTTTTTTAAAATCATTTAAGATGGTGAAAATATTTAGTGCTCCTTCCTTCTCCCATTTTCTCCACAACAACCCCTGTGAAGTGGGTAGGGCTGAGAAAGTGATTGGTCCAAAGTCACCCACCTGGCTTTCAGGTGGGATAAGAACTACAGTCTCCTCGTTTCTAGACTGGTGCATTGATCACTAGATTAAATGCTAATGCTGGCCTGATCTGATTTTCTGACAGTGAGAAAAATTGTTCTGTAAGGACCTGCCCAAGCTGGTCCCTCAGGAAAGTAAAACTCTTGACTCCATTGAGGTTAATCAAAAGAACTTTTACTGAGAGAAAGTGAAAGCAAAAAGTCAGGCAGAAACTGAAGGTCCTGCATGAAGCACAAAGCAATTCTTTCACTTCCCGAAATCCAGTCCCTCATAACCAGTCCATTGGCAGTCAATGTGATGCTTCAGGGTTGTTTTGAGGACACTGAAGTGCTGGGTAGATAAAAAGGGCACCCTTAGGGCATGACGGCCTTGGAATCAGGCTGGAACTGGCTGGGAAGGACTCTGCTTTATCTCTGAAGATAATCCCCCTCCCTAATTCCCAAGCGGTTACAGCAAAAGTGAAAGCATCTGAAGAATGCCAGCAACCTTCCTCCCCCCTCCAACTGAATGGCAGGACACTAGCATGGTGGACCTGACATGCTGCTCCTCAATGAAATGACATCAGTCCTACAGAAAGAAACATAATAGAGAGGAAGAAAAAAGAAATTATGAAATTAAGGGAAACATTATTTAGGTTTATTAGGATATTGGTTATGAAAATGCTTTACAAAT